TGGTCCTTTTGATAAGCTCTATTGTACTTTGCTTTTCATTTCAGTATGTCAACACCCAATCCATCGTGTTGTACTTCAGTCTTTTGTCAAGGCAAGTGTTGAGTGCTTCTTATGGTAGCATTAGGGTTGCAAAATTGGTTTCTACTTCTTGTCTTTGTTTCTGCAAATTTATTCTCTCAGTGCTCTGCTACTTTTGCAGCATCACCAGGTCCTAACTTGGGCCAAGATTTAATTGAGATTGTCTTTAACACCTGGTGATAACCACACATGAGTGCCCAGATGCTCTTCCTCCACCTGAGTACACCAGAAGGAAGGGAGTTGTCCTCATCCAACATCTTTTATCCAGACACAATCTGGAGTTCTGCTTGCATTGCATTTCTGTGCAACTCCTATTTATGTGGGTCATTATTTCTATATAACTTTCAAAGAACTCTCAGTAGAATTTCCTACAAACTCCTTAATATCTCAGATAGTTGTATACAAAAACATTCCTATGTAAGATGTCTTGAAATAAGATGTAGCATCTTACTGGATGCTTTGCTCATCTTTAAGCTCTACTGTGTTCCTGGGAAGTGAGCAGTGTTCACTGTAAAATACAAAACTGCAGAACAGGAGCAAGGGGGTTGGCTCTCTGAAGGGGAACCAGTGGTGAATGGTGCTTTGATGGGGTCTCGCTTGCTGTTCCCAGGTCCATGGCCCAAATCCTGCACCCCACAGAGCTGGCTCCACCACCAAGTGCCCTTCTGCAGTGGGAAATTTGGAGCTGGTTTATTTTTCTTGACTTTTTGATGACTTTTGGAGGCTCCTGCTGCTCTGTGGATGATGGGATTGGATGTAAGAGGAGCTTGGGATGGACATGGCTGCTGGAGCCGTGCTGAGAGGGGCTAGCAAACCCAAACATAAATTTCCCATGTCAAAATAGATGCATTTTGTCCTGCAAAAATGCAAATCTTCTCATACAGGAGACTTCCATTTTCTTCCAGCTGGTCCTTTCTTGGCCATTTTATAAAGCAAATTAATTCAGAGGTGCATTCTTCCCCTATGGAAGCCATAGGATGATGCTGGTCCCAATCTTGTTGGGGTCACAGGCAGTGGGCAGCCCAGGGCTGTGTGCCTATGGGAGGTTAGGCAGGATGAGAGGACTTGTCTGACTGCTGGATAAAAGTCCCTCTGGGCTTCAAAAGGCAAATCTGGCGCTGCTCTGCCCGCAGATGTCTGCAAGCAACAATAGGCTGCAATTCAGCCCTGTGCTTCAACAGGGAGGGAAAAAAAGAAAACCAGAAACCCATTAGATGACTTCAAAACCCATTAGATGACTTCAGTTCCACATGACTACATTGAAAGGGGAGGCATCTTAAGCTCAGCAGCGTTGGCTTCATCAAAGCAGGATGTGGGGAAAGCCCTTTGGGAAGCACATCCTTTGGGGCAGGGTCATTCATAGGTGTCGCAGGAAGGGACGTAGGTGACAAGCCCAGGAGCTAGTCAAGGCATATTTGAATGCCAGGATCCTGCTGCAGCCATTCAAATGTCAAAATAAATAAAAAGTCACCACTGAATGCATCACAATTCTGGCTTCACCCTTCTGAACACTGCTGAGGCATTTAGGGAGGGACCCAAGTGCTGAAACCTTTCCCTTCCCTTCTACACACATTTCTTTGCTCATCTTTATAAACAGTGGCTGAATCTCTTTTGTTTCTTTGGTGTTCTGCAAAGAAAAGTCTTCCTTCCTTGGCTCGGGGTTTTACGTTTCGTGTTTGCAGGTAAATAAGGTGGGAGCAGGTTTGTTTTACTGCCATTTCTTTCCAATCCCTGCGTGGTTTGCTGGGGGTTTGCTCTTCTTGGCTGCCTGCTAATTTGTAAGAACATCTCTGATGTGTGCCAAAAATCATTTAGGATGATCCGTCTCAGTGCTTTCCAGAGCATCTCTCACTGTTTTATGACTTTGTGCTACTGAGTAATAGCTCTGTTTACCGTTCTGAGTATGATTTTTTCTCTTCACTACCTTTTTTCATAATAATCCAAACTAATAATCCAAACAGTTTGGTTTATTAGGAATAACCTGAAGGAAAAGAAGGACAATCCTAGCTAATCACCTAAGACAAATAAATCAAGGAGTGTGTAGGGGGAAATCTGTCAGCTCCTCCCTTGTTCAGGGGTATGAAATAGGTCATGTTGTAAGGGTCAACATCCACTGACCCATATGGAAGGAAAACATCATGGCTGGGGATCTGTGCACCAAATGTGCAGAGATTTTCTCCCAGGATGAGTGTGACTTCCCTGGGCAGTGGTTACAGTGGGTTGTGCACAGGCAGAGCTTAATTAAGTCCAAATCCTGGTTTGGAAGGCCATTCTGGGACTTGTCGCACATTAGGATCTGCAGTGCAGCACCTTTTCTTGCCCGGAGATTGATTGGGAGTGACAGCAACATGAGACTGTGTAATAATGCCAGTGAAAACCTGTCGTGGGACATGGCTAATTGTTCTAATTTGGGCCGGCGCCCCGCTGTGCTGCAGCAGGAGGGCTTTGTCACAGCTCTCTGGTCATTACTGCTGACCCATTTAACAGGGGGCTGCCCCCCAGGCTCTGCTGCTGGGGGAGGAGTAGACGGTTGCTTTCTTAATGAAGACAGAGGTATCTGCTATCGTGTCTTTACTGCAAGGCGCTAGGAGTGAGGTGGGCAGATGTTTGTGGAACCCCTGGCAGTTTCAGCCTTTTGCTTCTTTTCCCGTCCAAGGTCATGACACGGCTCTCCCTCCCAGCTCAAGCCCACACCTGGTTATTACCCAACCCCATCTCTCTTCTCATGGAGTCATTTTTGGGATTACTCTCACCCCAGTATGCTGATGGCAGTGTGGTCCCATCACAGTGATGCCAGTAGGACTGGATCCCTGTGCTCATGATCCCAAACACACTCTGGCCCTGCCACCCAGCAAGGATTCAGTGATCCCTGTGGGTCCCTTCCAGCTTGGGTTATTCTATACAGGGATTTGGCCACTGTTGAGACACAGCAAGAACAAAGCTCTCTGATGTTTGCTTTCCCATGGTGTCACCCCTTTGCTTCCTATCACAACAGCAGGAGGGCAGCATGGCCATGGCTGCCCCAGCTGCATTTGGTTAAGGGATTGCAGCCTCATGAATCTCCTCTTCCAAGGGCTGGAGGAGGGGAGAGGGGCCCTGTGAAGGGCCCAACCTCTGTTCTCCACTTGTCCCACACTTAGCATCACATCTCCCACACTGGAAAGCATGTGCTGTGCCTTTCAATTCTTCCAGGTTGAGATTTTTTCATGCCCTTTGACCACAAAAACCCAGCTGTACAATGGGCTGAGCAGGGAAAGACTGGGGGATTGCTGTGGGTGCACGAAGCCCCTCTGCCCAGCACTCCCCATTCAGAGGGAAGTGAGGTTCTACTTCCTCCACACGAGTGAGCTGCACGGATTCTTTCAGCTGCATCAGTTTCCAAACAAACTTTTGGGCTCAGTCCCACCAGGGCGTGTGCCAGCTTTGATTATTTCCTAATAGACCTGGATAATAAACAGGGGAAAATACTTTGTTTAAACTGTAGTGTGAGCGTCCAGCTCTGATTTTGGCACGACTTCAACTGTGTCACTGCTTGGAAGCTCGAGTTGAGGAAGCACAGGGTGACTTTTGTACGTGGGTTTTCAGGGCCCAGCCCCATAGGAATGCTGTCCCATGTGCTGCTGATGGTGGTGGGTCCTGGTGGCTTTGGGCAGGTCCAATCAAGAGCGCAGCCCCTGAGGTGAGCTGTGTGTTCTTCCCTGTGCTAAACAGTGACATCTACCAAAACAAAAATCTTTGGGATTAAACCCCTTATTTAAGGTTAAGTGTGATGATATGGTGATGAAAAATAGGGGTTACAGCCCTATGCTGATACTTCTGTTCCTGCAGATGTGCCCTCTGTTTGTTTTGTTTTGTTTTTTTTTCACTTGAGAAGAACCTGATGGAATTGTTTCCCTGCACACCCAGATGCGATTAGTCAAAATCCAGTTTGCTCCTTGGTTAATATAACATTTATAATGTCTTTATAGAACCTGTCGTGCTCCACTGACTGCGAGGTGAGGTGGGAGAAAGCATTGCATAAATCACACTGCAAAGCACGTGGCTCCCAGCCAGGCTGAAGGAGGGGGCGGGAGGGCAGTGATAATTGGGCATCCTGATGGGTAAGACATGGAATCTCCAGCAGCACCCATGTTCAGAGGGCAAGACCTTGAGCAATCAGCATGGATAAAGAGCAGTGGTGAGCTGAGAACGAATTCCTAAGACCAAATTCAGAGATATTAATATTTTTTTTTCAGTCAATCCATTCTCATTTTCTTGCTGTCATTTTGTGTGGAATTTTTAACTGGAATTGAGAAGATTCCATCAGAATCACTGCTTTCCTTGAAGCTCTTTTTCCTATCAAAGAGATATTTGGGGAGTTTCTGGTGAGCACTCTTCATGAGGTCTCTATCAGCTCACCAAATCTCGTCATGTTCTTCTGCAAAATGGTTTTAATGGCAATGGATATGTGATGGGCAGTTCCTTTTGTATGAGTCTTGATGGGTGAGATATTGGCACAGGCTGCCCAGGGGGGTGGTGGAGTCACCATCCCTGGATGTTTTCAAGAAAAGTGAGGATGTGACACTGAGAAATGTGGTCTAGAGCAGTCACAGCCAGGAATTGAAGGTCAGACTGGATGATCTTATTGGTCTTTCCAACCTTAATGATTCAATGACTGTGGCAGGGCAGCCAGCTGCTGCTTGCAGCCTTCGTCTGTGTTTGGAGATGGATTTGCAGAATAATCCCATTCACAATGTCCATGCGTCTGCTTTCTCTTGGTGCAACAAAGGCCTTGTAGCATCCTAGCAATCATTGTTTGGAGTTATTTTGTTCTCCTTCCTTGCAATTTTAGCATGGTCCCTTCTGACGTGGGTAGAGCATCCCACTGAAAGGATAATCATGGCGCAGCCACCTCACCTGTTGTCTTCCCATTGTCTTTGCAGGAGGGAGACAACATTGGGGCCATGGAGAAGCTCTGTCGGCAGCTCACCTACCACCTCAGTCCCCACTCACAGTGGAGACGTCAAGGCATCATGAAAAGGAAGCCACAGTCCTGGTGAGTCGTTTCTCAAAGCCACCCATTGATCTCCATTGCTTGCTTCTTTCCCCCATGCATCATTGAGTCATCAAGTTTCTTCACATTCAACCAGAGGCAGTTTCTCGTTTTCCACTTTCCTTTCCCCATTGCATCCTTGTTTGCATTGAAAATCAACCCAGTTGTGCCCAGCCATGGGAATAAATGGGGAATAAATGAACCAGTGCCCTGGTCCTCAGCAAAGATCTTGGCCAATGATGTTTCTGGTGCTTGGAACCTAATATGTCTGAAAGAGGTTAATGGGGATGGAAAGGTTACTTTGCTTTCAGTGAGGTGATGCATTACATATGTAATTTTTGAAGGAAGTGAGAAAAGTGAGAAATGCAAAAGAAACTGCAATCTGGCAGGGTTAGGATTTCTATCCAGATGTTTGCTTATGATCCTGAGAGAGTTTTGGTTCCTGGCATAGCAGATGCTGTCTGTAGCCATAGCAAGAGACTGATTCTATGAGAAAGCTCAGTCTGAAAAGAGAAGGGGGGAGGAAAGCAGGCTCAGGGAATAAAGGACCAGGGGGCAAATTGGATTAGGACCACATCTCCCACAGTCCTGGCTCGGCATCCCTTGCACCCTGCTGTCTTTGCAAGTGCCCTGTCTGACCTACAAGGGCATCCTGTCCCCAGCTTTGGCTTGACTCAGCTTTGCTGTCAGATGCTTAAGGGATTTTCAAATACTGTGTTTATTCACTTTTTTCTGCATGTGTCTCTTGGCCATCCACAACCCAACAACGCTCCTCTTCTGCTCTGCAATGTAATTAGCAGCTGGCTGTAATGCCCAGGCTGCTTCTCTAAATCCAATTGTCAGCAGCCCTAAGCTGCAGCCACCTCCCTTATGTGGTTCCTGCCCACATCTCTCCATTTCGGACCCAAAATCCCTTTATTGTTTCATGACTGTCTTGTTGGGCTGAATTCCACTTTAAACAGAGTATCCCTTTATCTCTGCCCAATGAGTAGTGCCAGTCAATGCTAGAACACATTCCAGCTTTGTTATGCCTTATGCTGTAATGTCATTCAGTGAAAAAATGACATTGCTCCCAGTTCACTCCAGGAATATTCTTGTTAATGCTGATCTGTGATGCTATTGCAACAACTGTTGGGTTTGGCTGAGGGACTGCCCCAGGCCCCAAGGAACACCCTACTGGTGCAGGACACTATTGCTCTCCTTCAGTGCCCATCTTGCACATTTTGGTTCATGGTTTGCCACAGTGATGATTTTCTTCAGTTCTGCAAGTTCTGTGACTCAATATCAATCACTTTTCTCTTGGGACAAGTTAGGAAATTTAACTTGGATGGGATGTAAATCTCTGAGATGGAGAATGCGTGTAATCATAAAAGTGTCTGACACTGGCTGGCGTTTTCTGTCCTTGTGTGGGTGTTGGTGTGAATGGAGTGAATGTAGCAAGCAGGTTTTTCATAGCTGTTGACATACATTTCATTGAATTATGGAATCATTAGGTTTGGAAGAGACCTCTAAGATCCCCAGCCCACCCCACCATTCCCAACTGTAGTGGAAATGCTAAGTCACAGCCTGAACCAGTGATTGAACACCTGGTGGAAGGCAGGGCCAACCCAGGGTTGCTCAGGTGCAAGCAATTCACCTGAGTGACTGGAATGCATGGAGCCAAGATCCACCCCTTCCCAGACCTCATTTAAGGGTGGCAGTGGTAGAAACAATATCTCTTGCTGGGGATCTCTGCATAGATGAGGCCTTCTAGAGGTAAGCAGATTTTCTTCTTTTGTTTCTGCATTCGTTACTGCTACATTTGGGCTTCTCTTTACTTGGTGCAGCCTAGGACTTGGCTCCCCTGCTATCATTGCTGTGCCTGGAGGTGTTTTGCCCCTGTGTGAGGCACAGCTCCCAGCTCCCATCTGCAGCACCCGCACACCCAGCCTGTCCCATCTAGCTCTCTTCAAACCAAATGACCCCTCCAGCTGTGCTACCCCTCTGTGCTTTGTTTCCCAGGGTATTACAGGAGATGTGGGAACATGCCAGTAAAATGCATTTCACTGAGGAGGAATGCTTCCTGTTGAGCTTCAGTGTCAAAGCTGCTTGGGAATTTCTCTTTAGGCTCAGAAAACTCCTTCTTTTTGCTATAACAGTCTGTTTCTTCTTTGAGAGAATTCAGCACCATTTCAGTGCCAGGTGATTCTTCTCATTGAGATTGCTGGGAGAAGTGTCCTACATGTTTTACCATATTTTAACTGAAATATTTTAACTGAACTCTTGCAGAGAGGATTGCATTTTATCTCTTTTTCCAGGCAGAGCCCAAGCAATATTTCCAACCAAGTGAGTCAGGGTGTATCATGCCTTAGAGAAGAACTTCTACACATACACATTGAGGAGAAGCCATAGAATCATTTGAGTTGGAAGAGACTCCCCCAAAGGCCATCTGATCTCACTCCCTGCTATGAACAGGGACACTCACAGCTCCACCAGGTGCTCAGAGCCCCTCCAGCCTGACTTTGGATGTCTCCACTGATGGGGATCCATCTCCTCTCTGAGCAGCCAGTGCTTCATTACCCTAACAGTAAAGAACTTATATCCAATCTATATCTCCCCTCTTTTAGTTTGAAACCATTTCCTTTTGTCCTGTCACGGATTCATAAAGGCTGGAAAAAAGTACTGAGATCATCCACTCCAACCATCAGCCCATTGCTGCCATGTCTGCTATCCCAACAGACCCTGTTCAAGAATCTGTCCCTCTTTTTTTATAGCCCCCTTCAACCTGCCCAAAGGAAGGGGAGGGACGTGAGAGTCTGCTGATGTTGGCTTTGTTAGGAGTGTATTTTGACCCAGTGGTTTACTCATGGAGGTTAAGCAGCTTTTAATTATTGGTAGGAAACAATGGGTGAAGAGCATTCATCTTGGCTTCCTCTATTTGCCCACTTTCTCTTTGCTTGGTCATGAGTTACTCTTGTGATGGAGCCTTTCTCACTATGGAGGTCCTTGCAGCATCTTTCCAACCTTATTGGCTTTATAACTGTTCCTTGGGCATGATGGTATGGGTGGATGGTTGGACCAGATGATCTTGGAGCTCTTTACCAACCTTAATGAGTCTGTGGTTCTATGGTTTAGTGGGCATGACGGTGAGTGGATTGGTGGTTGGACTGGATGATTTTGGAGGTCTTTACCAACCTTAATGTTTCTGTTTCTATTCAGTGGGGATGAGTGGATGGTTGGACTGGATGATCTTAGAGGCCTTTTCAAATCCCACTTCTGATTTCAGCAAGAGCACAAAACATTTCTGTTCCAGAGGAATGCTGGCTGCCCATTGCTCATGCTTGCTGCAGTGTCTGCTCATGTTTCTATACAAAGCCCTTGTGAAGCAATTCAAGAGGGAAAAAAAGAAATCAACAGTTTTGACAAGGAGAAGCCCTGGTGCATGAAAAATGTGCCCTTCCTTTTGTAAACAGAAAGCAACCAAATGTTTGTGGATGCAGATCTTCAGTAGTGCTGGGAGTCTGGAGGCGAGCAATGGCAGAAGTTAAAGCTTTTGCAACAAATGGTTCCTTCAGAACCTCCAGCCTCCATCCATCAGTGAGAGGAGGTGGAGTGGGGACTGTGTGGTCCAACACATGGAGGAAATCCATGCTGGGAGGTTGCACAGTGCTCTGCTGCTGGGCTGTGTTGCAGATTGCTTTGCAGTCAGTACAGGTGATTTCCAAGGCTGTCTGCAGACAGAAGCAATTCGTTTGCAGGCAGAAGCTGAGTGCTGGCTGCTGTGTGTGTGATATTATAATGGGAGCTGGGGCAGAGTGAAGCTCGTCCCCATGTGCATCCTGGAGCATTAGAAATACTGTGCTTATTTACTATGGTGTGTGTTGTTTTTTTTTTTTCCTGTTAATTGCCCTAAAAGTACAGGAGAGTCTGCCTGACTTCATCATACCATATTTTTGCCATTGGTTGTACTAAGAGGGTAGGAAATCAAGATTTAATCTGTGTGTTGCTGTGCTTTGGCTCTCAAACCTGGCCAAGACAGCAAAGGAAAACCAAATGGCCACGAAGAGTCTCACATCGTGTCATGTCCCCTGGGTTTTGCAGATGTGGTAATCTAGGAACAGCAGGATGGCTTCATTTGATGGGAATACCTGGTGTGACATGGATGGGAGTGATAGCTTTGGGAGAGTGGGAGACAAGGGGAGGACATGCAGGATCCCCTGGGGTGCTTGGTCTTCCAAGTGGCTGCATGCTGAGCATTGGGTGTGCTCAGCATCCTGTGTAATGCATCACCACGGCTCACTCAGCTTTTCTCCTAGAGCACTGCTCTCAGGCAAAGCTCTCAGCTCAAAGCACTCTGCTCAGCCCTATTCATGACCTCTCTCATCACTCCTTGCCCTGGCTGTAAGAGCAGCAGCACTGAGGAATGGCGATAAGCCACGGTTCCTCCAGAGGAAGCAGCAGCAGAGCTGCATGGCTCAGCCAGTGCCGTGCCTGCCCTGTAGGGAAGGAGGAGGAAAGCCAGCTGGCATTTGAAGGATTTCTTTTTTTAAGCTTTTCCACCTCTGTGACCTTTCTGCTCTTCAGCTCCCGTGGCATTTTGAAGTTATTCTGCTGGAAAGCAGCACTAAATGTGTTCTGTTTAGACCTTTTGGGTGTTTGATGGGCAGATACCTGCAGTAGGCAGCAAACTAGGAACACTTGAAGGACTTTTTAATGATCTCTTTGAAACAAAGAATGTTTTCATAATTATGAAAGAAGGCAGAATTCACCTGTTTTACAAGTTTTACCTGTGGCTCTTGATTTTGCAAGGCTTAGATAGACCAGATCAACCTGCCTGTCTCCCCCCCACCTTCCATAGTACGTTGCAAAAGGACATTGGACCCAACCAGAGGGGTCAAGTTGTGCTGTTGTTGCATTGAAGATTTGACATGAGCAAGCTGCAAACTAGAAACAAACAGAAGGAAGTTTTGGAGGTGTTAAGATGTGGCACTGAGGGACGTGGTCAGGGAGATGGTGGGGTGGGG